CCTCTAGGGTAACCTCGCTTGTTGCCTCGGAAAATAGTCATGTCCCACGAATATGGGCGTTTTAGCAAAGTCCCTTGATAAAAAAGATCGTAGTCCCTCAATGTCCCTCGATGTTGCCTTTGTTAAACGATCTATCCCCTTACGAAAATTGCTAAAACGTCTCATAAGTTTCCTTCTATGACTATACATTTGACCCACGCCCACCCCTTCACATCCAATGATGAGGCTTTTTACCAATCAATGGTAAGATAGCAACCTATAAAGGAGGAGGAAAAGAACAAAGACCTTTTGAGTAGGTAGGACGCTCGTAGTTACTTGCTCACAAATCAAAACCATTTTCACACTTACACTTTCAAAACATCTTCAAAAAACAAAAATCTCTTTGAACTATTTTTAAAACCAACACTTTGTATACATTCTTATAGAGACGAGAATCATTACAATTTTTTTCGAAACAAAGGCGTTTTCAAAATACTTTCAAAAACTCACCACAAACACATTTCAAACAAAGCATTTCTCAAAATGATCTAGCAAGCAACTAAGAGCCCGTAGATAAATACGGATGAAAAGGGTGCTAATACCTTCCCTTTTCATAACCAACCCCCTGAACTCAAGAAAATATCTCGAAAGTTCTTTCCTGTTCTTTTCACCCTTTCCTTTATTGGATAAAGGAAAAGTCGGTGGTGACTTTCCATCCGCAACATTTGCGATAAACGCAAAACGCACGAGTTAGTTCTCCCTCCATATGACAGTAACTAAGAATTCAAATTCAGTGAAGTTAACTTTGAGACCTTGGTTTCATAGTTGACTAATACTGATTAAATTAACAATTAGGCTTTTTACAAATAGCACATCATCAAGACTAGACTGTCCTATATAGTCCAACTTTTCAACACCTTTTATTTCACCTTTTGACCCATCCCCCAAAGTGACATAGCTAGTGGAGTGAGGTTTAATATCCACCAGGAATTTCTTGACACATGTCATATGTCTAGAATAACCACTATCAAAATACCAATCCTTTTTGCATAAGCTCTGAGAGAGGTGTGAGCTATGAGTCTAGAGGTACCCTTTCTTGGGAACCACTTCCTTTTAGCTCTAACAAATGTCTGTTCTCTTTTGGGTTGTGCTTCATATTTGGGATAACTGTATAACTTGTAGCAGAAGGATTTTATATGGCCAGTCTTTCCACAATAATAACATCTTCGTCGTTGAGTCTTGATTCCTGAGTGATTTCTCTGTTGTCTGTGCTGATGTAGGATTTTATATGGCCAGTCTTTCCACAATAATAACATCTTCATCGTTGAGTCTTGTTTCCTGAGTGATTTATTTGTTGTTTGTGCTGATGTTGGAATATTTTATTTGACATCTTTTCTTCCAGTTCTTTCTTTGGACGAACAAATTTTACTTCAACCTTTTTGCCTTTGTTCTTCATAGCTTGATTGCCATAGCCAATCCCTTTAACATTTCCAACATTCTTTCCAGACTGAAGAATCTCATCAAGCACACCATAACTGTTGTTAATAATTCTCACAAACTTGGTCATTTTATCAATTTGTGACTTGAGTAAGAGAACTTAATCCTTCAGCCCAGAGATAGGAGACAAATGCTCCACTTTTTCAGCCTCCAGACTAGATATGATAAACAGGTGCTCCACTTTTTCAGCCTTCAGGCCAACAATCGTTTTCTTTTGCTTTTCTTCTACTTTCATCCTCTTGACTTCTGAGGCATATCTTCTTGTAAGAAGCAACAATTTCTTCAAAGGTAAGTCTTTCACAAATTGAGTCTTCATCAGAGTTACAAACTTCAGTCAAGGCTAAGACCTGTTTTGTACTTTTCTCTTCATGATCACTTTCAGAATATTCCTCTGACCATGACACACACAACCCTTTCTTCTGTTTCTTAATATATGTGGGGCACTCATCTCGGATGTGTCTAAACCCTTCACACTCATGGCACTGAACTCTTCTCTCTTGGATGGAATTGTCATCAGTTTTGCTCCTTCTATCAAAGTCTTGGTTTTTGTTGATGTTGAATGACTTGTTCTTGACATTTGACTTTGAATTCCAGTCCACTCTCTTCAATACTTTGTTTAATTATCTTCCAAGCAGCACAAAATCATTTGATATCCCTTCTTCTGTATCCAAGTCACATTCCTCTTTCAGGTCATCGGTATTAGAAACAAAGGCAATGCTCTTCTTCTTTTCAGATTTTTCACTGATTCCTAACTCAAAAGTCTACAGAGATCCCATAAGCTCATCAAACTTCATGTTGTTAATATCTTGGGCTTCCTCAATGGAAGCCACCTTCATGTCAAACCTCTTCGGAAGAGATCTAAGAATATTTCTAACCAACTTGGCTTCTGACATCTTCTCCCCCAGGGCACTTGAGGCATTGACTATCTCAATGATATTCATGTAAAAATCATGAATACTCTCATCCTCCTTCATTCTTAAATCCTCAAACTGGGTGGTAAGAATTTGGAGCCTTGATGTCTTCACTTAGAGGTTCCTTCATGTGCAGTCTTCAAAATCTCCCAAGCTTCTTTAGAAACGGTAAAATTCCTTATCATTTTGAAGATGTTTTTGTCAACTCCATTGAATAGGGTATTCAATAATTTGAAGTTTCCCTCTACTAAATTATAATCTCCATCATCACATTCTTCCTCGGCCTTCAGTGCATCAGTAGTCTTCGCATCCTTTTCTCTAGCCATAGGTGGATCTCATCCTTTGACAACGGATTTCCAAACCTTGTTGTCCATGGATTTAATAAAAGCCACCATTGGAGCCTTCTAATAGTCATAATTGGTTCTATCAAGTATGGGTGGTCTGTTCTAAAATCCCCATTCCTTGTTCATTGTACCAGAAAGTAACTTCCCTAAATCTCATCCAGAATAAGAGTAGGATGCCTGCTCTGATACCAATTGAAATTCTGGTATTCAGATCTCAGATGTCCTAAGAGATGTCGAGACACTAATCTCTATCTTTGCATACAATGACAAGGTAAATGATAAAAAACAATGCAAAAAAGTAAAGAACACACAGAATTATTAACCCAGTTCGGTGTACAACAACACCTATTATGGGGGCTACCAAGCCAGAGACGAAGTCAACTAGATAATGTCAATTTGTAGACTCGCAACTGACTTTCACCTAGTTTACAATCTACTCACTTAATTACTACCCTTGCTTAACTTCTACCTAAGACTCGCCTATGTATGAGACCCTTCTCAAATCCCTTCCAATCACATAACAATGACTGAACATTTCTAAACACTTAGAAAATAATAGAAGTCACACTTCAAAGACACACAAGCATTAACTGCTTAAAAGCTTTAGAATTACTGACAGAACTTACAACTCAAAATACAGTCCTACTCTTTTATCAAGATGATAATCGAGAGGCTCACAATAAACACATAAACTCTAACAAAATACAACGTAAGTTCCATAGAAAAACCAGGGTTGTGACAATCTATTTAAAGCACATATCTGGACTGAATTAAGCTTTAAAATTGTAGTTGGATATGCAAGTGAAGCTGCATAATTATCTCCTCAGATATGACATCAATCATTAGTTTCGTAAATTATATCCATAACTAGAAACTAAGAATACTCCTTGAGTTCAACTTGAATCTCTTTAATCTTCAAACTGGGCGTCACATAGGATAGCATAATATTTCTAAAATATTCTGCACATGTAACAAACTAAAACATTCAACTGTTCAGTTGTACAAAATCATGATGTCGAAAAAAACTACATAGGAAAGCGCATTAGACATGTTGCTCTAGTTGATAGAACATCTTATTTCAACATGTCTATGTTAAGTTAATTTTATCAAACATAGTGTCAATCACAAAAATAGATAATTAACACGAAAGATCATGGAACTAATGGTCATCAACAAGAAAGAAAAAGGTACATCAACCAAGGGTCTTGAAAGGCGGATGCTTGATTTTCGGAATAGTGACAAGGTCAGGGGAATCTCGAACAAAATCTCTCTATTGGTCATAACAGTCACGATCAGCCACTTTGACATTTTCCAAATACTGATTGACTGTGGAAACTCTTGTTTTGTGATGTATTCGGAACTTTTCGAGAAGATGTGCCTGAAGAAATAAAAATTATGATCTTATGAGAGATCGGATATGTAGCAGGCCTTTAATGGAACGACGACTTTTCCATGGAAGTACATAGAATTAATGATTATTATGGGGAAATAGAGAGATGTTAGAACATTTTACTCGCAGTTCTTTAGGGTTTCGTGCAAAAGCATCTACAAGTATATCTTAGTGGTTTCACTATAGCATCCCTTACTCACCACAAGATGAAGTTTCACAACCTTCATTATTAACCGGTCACAGTAAATACTAATTTGTCTAGACCGAAGAGAATCTAACAAGCCTTGCAGCAAGATCAGAAGGAAGAGGAGTACAAATCGATTGGTTGAGAGATATGGATATTTCCCCTCCCATTGGTAAGACATGTCCCTTCAGTCGGACAAATAAAAGAGGTTGAATAGAGGGTGTTAAGACCACCTAATTATTTTAATAGTTCTGTATGAAACAAAATTACGTCATCTTAATATATTATGATCATTTTGATTAGAAAAATAAGAATATTCGATTAAAATATCTCTATTATGATGAGTCTGAAATACGACTAAGACCACCTCCAACGGGAGGTTTCTCATGTTGGTTCTCCAAGTGGAAATGCTTTTTCTCTTTCCTCCAATGCTCCAGTTGGCCAACTGATTAAAGCACTCAACGGTTCTTTTTTTTTTATATTTTAAAATTCAAAGCAGCAGCCAAGTAGCCGTTGAACGGCTAGTTAATTTAATTTTTTAACTTATTTTTCAATTATAAATATAGTGTTTTAGGAAAAAATTTATCAACACCAATTTTCTTTCACTTTCATTTTCTCTTAAATTTCAAGTTTCTCTCTCAAAATTTCATCCAAATTTTCATCTTTTTACTTCAACTTAAAATTGTTTAGGCCAAATGGATCCTAATCATTTTCATTATCAACAAGCTATGTTCAATTACATGCAAAATAATCAAAATCCTAATTCTCAAAATGCTCAAATTCCATCGGTGTCAACAAACCCCGCCATATTTTTTCAGTCACCAAACAATCAAAATATGTTTCCTAGCCCTCAAATGAATTCTAATAGTATGGAATTTTTTTGTCATGAACCGGAAATACCGATTGGATTTATGTCCGGTTGTCAACTTCCATCCTTTTCTACTCAAGTTGGTGCTGAAAAAGAAAAAAGGGTTGAAGTTAAAAAAAACTCTCGAGAGCAATTTACAAGGGATGAGGATATACTTCTTATCCAATCATGGCTCAATGTTTCAAAAGATCCAATTGTGGGAGTTGATCAAAAGGCTGAGAGTTTTTGGGTAAGAGTCGCTGCCAATTATAACCAGTACCATGGACAATCGCGGTAAAAGGTAGGGGGACAATTAAAATGTCGATGGCATCGAATAAATGGCATGGTTCAAAAATTTGTTGGGTGTTACAAACAAGCTGTTAATGGAAAGAAAAGTGGGACATCAGAGAACGATATCATGGCCTCTGCACATGCTTTTTTTGCTCAGGATCAAGGTACAACATTCAATCTTGAGTACGCATGGCGACTGTTAAAAGATGAACCTAAATGGATGGGAGAATCGATTGGAAGTTCTTCAAAAATAACAAAGACTTCCGCTAGTAGGGCATCATCGGAGAACCCAGATACACATTCAAGTTATGAGTTTAACTCATCATCACCAATGGAGCGTCCAATGGGACAAAAAGCAGCAAAAAGGAAGGGTAAGACAAATAATATTCCATCTGCAACGGAAGATGCGAGGAATAAAAGAACAACGGCAATGGAAAGACTAGCACAATGTAAGGAGGACAAGATAGAAGTAAAGGTAATGCAAATCATGATGAAAGACACTTCTACTATGAGCGATAGTCAACGAGATATTCATGAAAAATATTGTAATAAGATGGAAAAAAAATATGGAATGTAGTTAGTATCACTTATGTAAAATGGTCATTAGTATCACTTTAATTTATCAACACCTATGTAAAATGGTCATTAGTACCACTTTAAATTTTAATAAATATTATGTTATTCAAACTAGTCGTTATTCAAACTAGCCGTTATTCAAACCATTATATATACTACCACTTATGTCATTGTTTTCTCATTCTCATCTTATTATTTTCTCATTTTTCTCACATTCTTTACTCACTAAAATGGATTCAGACAATTCAGAGAATTACGATTAAGAATTTTGGGATTTGATTGAAGAAGAATTTATGGACGACAGTGATGAAGAACAACAGCTTCAGAATGAACGTCAATATGGAAGTTCCTCTCGACCAAAGAGAAGAACAACGATAGATCGAGGTCTTGAAGAAGGGCACAATCGATTATTCAATGACTACTTCTCGGAAAATCCAGTATACACAGATGTTCAATTTCGAAGAAGGTTCAGAATGCATAGGCATGTATTTCTTCAAATTGTAGATGCCCTTGGAAACCATGATGAATATTTCCAAATGAGGGTCGACGCAACTGGTAAAATGGGTCTTTCAGCATTGCAGAAATGTACATATGCTATTCGTATGTTGGTGTATGGGTCTCCTGCTGACTTTGTAGACGAATATGTTCGAATCGGTGAAAGCACTTCAATTGATTGCTTACAAAGATTCGTTCAGGGCGTGAATGTTGTATTTGGGGCTGAGTATTTGAGAAAGCCTAACAACACTTATGTTGAACATCTTTTACAAATGGGAGAGTCACGTGGCTTTCCAGGTATGTTGGGTTCCATTGATTGTATGCATTGGGAATGGAAAAGTTGTCCTGTTGCATGGAAAGGACAATATTGTCGAGGTGATCATGGTAATCCCACAATCATGCTTGAAGCAGTGGCATCACAAGACTTATGGATTTGGCATGCTTTTTTTGGTATTGCAGGTTCAAACAATGACATTAATGTGTTAAACCAATCCAACGTGTTTAACAATATTTTGGAAGGACATGCTCCCAATGTGCAATATATAATCAATGGGACACCATATAATATGGGGTATTATTTAGCAGATGGTATATATCCTGAGTAGGCTACATTTGTCAAGACCATTTCAATGCCACAGGGAGAAAAGAAAAAATTATTTGCTCAACATCAAGAATCAGCTAGAAAAGATGTGGAGCAGGCATTTGGGGTGCTTCAATCTTGATTTGCAATTATACGTGGCCCAGCGCGTGCCTGGAACATGGAGACCCTCAAGCATACCATATATGCTTCATCATATTGCACAACATGATTGTGGAAGACAAACGACATACATATGGAGGTAATTTTGATTACTCGTATGATAGTATGGATAACAACAACTCAACAACTGAAACATTTAGCGGTCCTCATCCGAATCTTGCAACAAGACTACAAAGAAGAGCTAGTATTCGTGAAAAACAAGTTCATCGTCAACTTCAAGGAGATTTAGTCGAGTATATTTGGGAACGTTTTGGACATGAAGATGATGAAATTTAAGTTTGATTAATTATGTGATGTTATTTATTTTTATTGTTTTTAATTATATCTCATGTATTTGAGATTAATTTTAATTATCATTTTAAACTATAAGTTTAATTTGAATTTTATTTATTTTATATCAATTTTAATTTCAATAATTAAAATTATTATTTAAAAAAATATTAAATTTAATATGAATAAAATATTAATATATAAAGTAAAGTTGTGGGACCCAATATGAGTTCTTCAGAGTTGCACCATTGGAGTGAAAAACTAATTGAGTTGCTTCAAGCTGACGTGGCTTAATAGGTCCCACAAAGAACCCAAAAATGGGTTCACGATTGGAGATGCTCGAAGGAACTCAAAGTCCCACGACAAAATTTTATGGTAAATAGGTTCTAGTCTCATGAGTAAAAAATATATAATTGGAAAGGTGATGTGCAATCGACCTAATGTGTCTAACGGTATCTTAACTGCAAGTGCACAGCCTATCGCAGTAGTAATAAAAAGATGGCGAACCCACAGGGACTTTGTAATCACTCTAGTGCTATAAAGGTTTGCTAGTTTAGCTAAGGCGGATGTTGTCACGTTTGGTTTTTTAGAGGTTAAGGTGGGGGGAAATAAATCGACTTAGGGGAATAATAGTAATAAAATAGTCGGTATGTAATATAGTGAACCTAAGTGGATCTAATCGAACCTAAGCATATAAAGTTGTTTAACTTAGATGGTTCTGTAGAAATTATCAGTTTAAAAACCCTCAACTCACACTTTCGTGGTCTTATCTCGGATTATACCCCTAAAGCCATATGCCTTCTCTCGCTAGCCCATAAGTGTTTAGAAAATACTTTTTGAAAACTTAATAAAATCTAATTCGTTTTAAAGCGCTCTCGCTGTATTTAAATCAAATGCCTAACTTTAGCTATCCGGTTAAAACCTCACACTCTCGTGGTCTCGATCCTAACATATTCTACTTTTTTACTCTCGTAACAAAAAGATTGATTTTAATTATAAAAAGTCACAGCCAGAAATTAAGTTAATTTAGATTTTAGCTTAAGCACAATTTAATCCATTTGGTCACTATTATCACATCCCGACTCTAGAAAATTAGCTAGTCATAGTACTCGAAATAGACATACATAAAATATAATCGGGAAAGAATAAAACATTCATGATAAAATAATAAATAAATAAACATAAATAAATCGTATTAAAATTAAATTAAATGCGATCAAAAACCTGAATAACAATATTATTCCTCAAGCTCCCTCTTTCACAAGTCGGCAATATTGGAACTTCGAAATTGGAACTTGAAACAAATTCTGAGGCTAAAAATAAATTCTGACTACAATAGCAATTTCCTAATGTTGGAAATAGCTATTAATTGGTAAAAGGGAAATAAAGCAAGAACAAAAAAATGCAAACGGACTGTTATTAAATTTGGCAGGGCTTCCGCAAGAAAATCTATAGAAAAAAAAACTCTCCCATTCCATTAAAATGTCTCCTATTTATAGAAGAGAATTTTTGCAGTTAAGAAAATTTAGGAACGTGGACTTGCACTGCTTGAGTGGAGGAAGACCCGGATTGGTCGTTGCTGAAGTTGAGAATTTGTAGGAGTTTAAAAAGATCCTTCCATTACGTTGCCCACGTCTCTTGTTCTGCATGATGTTGAATTACGCGTGTGACGGTCGTAATGAAGAGGTGACGGTCGTAATGCGCTTAAATAGCGCGTTACGTTCGTCAATGATGTGTGACGAGCGTCCTTCAGGTTGTAAGCGTGTTACGCTCGTAATGGAGGTGTGACAAGCGTCACAACATCAAACTTTGCAGAATTTTGCAGTTTAGTTATTTTTCTTCTGATTTTTATGTTAGCTTTCTTCATGTGATCTTTTTTCACTAATTTGATTTGAAACATGTTGTACCTGTGAAAAGACATAAAAACTCGGAACAATCGGGAGTTAAATGGGTTAATGCAGTATGAAAATCGATAAAAAATAGCATTTATATGATACGATTTCTCGTTATCAAATTCCCCCATACTTCAACCTTTGCTTGTCCTCAAGCAAATAATCATTTAGAAAGATCCGACAAGTTTCATCAGGCGCACATGCATGACATACCTCTGGTTTTTAAAGCAATTACGGGAAATCCTTGTCAGTTCGAACGATACTTAAGTGAAACACTAACGATACGCTAATGACACAAGCAATAAGTTAAGTCATGAATTTCCATTTTAAACGAGCTGTCCAATAGTTTCGTTATAATTCTGCCCAGAGTTTCTCGTATCTATTTCACCCGGTTTTGTTCTAGCGCAATCACATTAAGCCCTTTGTCTTAGCATGCACGTAGTGGAGTAGCCGGTTAGTAACTTTGATCCTTTTTGCACGAGGTCTGGTACACGGACGTGGCAACCCTACATATATTATCTAAATTGGAGGTTGTGGGGGATCGAGTCATAGCACGCCCTACCAAGTTCAGAGCAAGATACCTTTGAACCAACCAACAGTGGACTCCTTCATTATTTGCTCCTCTCTTATATACGACCTTGTATTTTGGTGCAACTTTTTCCTTTTTAGCAGCGAGATAAGAAGGATATTTCATTGATCAGGCATTAAACACTTATTTTCATCGGCTCCCCACGTGGTTTGTGTCAAGACGATGTTGACTGCTAGTATAAACTACTAGGAGTTACTTTAGAACTAAAACTCAAGATATAGGTATAACGGTTATTAAAACGGATCGCGTAAGTAGGAAGTCTAAGGTGTCATAACCGTATCGATCTTGTTGAATCGTTCTCGGCTTCCTAACTAGGATTTCGTTAAGATAGGTATGTCGGGCTAATGCGAAGATAAAGCAAAAATTTTCGGTATGGCTAAATAAAGCGGGGAAGAATTTAAACTGAGAAATATCATTAAAAAAAATTACTTGTTCATGGTAAATGGAAAGGTACCTCTCCCACACTAAATCTGACATTGTCCTCAATGTTACGGGATAAAGGCGGGGAAATACAAGTACAAAAACAAACAGAAAGAAAAAGAAACAGAAGCAGTAAACTACTTAAGAAATAATAAAAACTATTGATGGCCACGTCCTCTACTCCTGGTGCATGATTGCCTGGTAGGTGTGGCTTCAGTATCAGTGTCCTGGTAGCCAAGGGTGCTGACGTCCAACCTTAAGGTGTTAAGTTCAGACAGGGCCTCGTCCAACCTCTCGTTCATGCTCCGCTGACCAGTCATAATCTGAGTGTTTTGTGCACATAAATAGTCATATTTCTCCTGTTGTCTTCTTTCAAGTGCGGCACTCATTTGATTTTGCTGATGGATGGCGCGGAGAATTTCTTCAAGAGTAATAGGAGGTGGTGCAGATGAAGGTCCTGGAATGTCGTGAACGGGGGCAATAAAAATGGGGCGGCGTTGATCTTATGGCCGGTGAATGCGCAGTGCATGAAGAAAAGCTCCTTGGAGTTGAGCTTGTGGTTGCTGTCTCGGGCG